GCTTTTTTTTGAATTAAAAATTATATTATTGTAATATGTTTTCATTTGTAGTCGAAATTATTCGACAGCCAATTTTTATTTTATTTTAGCCAAAAAGGATAATAACTATAATTTATCTTATGACACGAAATTTCAGCAAAATTATACGTCATCATTAACAGCATCTAAAATTTCTATATTTATTACGCTAAAAATACATTTAAACAATTTGATAGCAAAAGAATTAGCTAAATAAGCAAAAAAAAAGTTTTAAAAAGTGTATAACAAATTAAAATAATTGAAGGGACAATCAGGCAAATAATGTCCTGCCCAAGTTAATTTTAAAAAAATAGATGCAAACAAAAATTCATATAAAAATGATAATAATGATATCATTACAGTATTCATATCGTTATTATCACCTTGTTATCGCCATCATTATTAGCATCATCATCAACCGATTATTCTGATCATTTAATTTATCTTTTATTAAAATGCACTTCTAAGTTAATGCATAACTTTATTGTCTTTTTTATCATAAATTTAAAGCAATCAATTTAACTTTTACTCATTTTCGATTTCATGATATTGTTTTTACAAGAAAAAAAATATTTTAACTTATTGGAACTTATGAGTAATTTCTTTTTGTAGATTTCAAAAATTCAATTATCTTTCTCACCTACTACTGGCAATCATTTAGTCTTTGACCACTGCTTTAATCATGATTTTGACCTATACGATCAAAATTTGTTCAAAACCTTACCAATTCTCAAATTCAACAACTAAATTACATCGACGATTATCTAAAAGGTAAATCGTCGTATATTCTACCTCAACATTTACCTTACCTTTATCATTACACTCATTAAGTTATTATTTATGAATTATTAAAATAGCAAATAATTAATGTTGACATATGCAATTAGTGCAAATAATGAATGATACAACTGATAGCAATGCAAACAATTAATGAATGATACATAAAAATTTTGTTATGATATGATAAGATAACAGGCAAAAACATTCGCAATGAAAATATCAAAAAATATTCCATCAGCAAAAATATGAAATACAAACACGTTCATAATAAAATTTTCAATGACAAAACTTTGAAAGGGCTTTATTTTGAAAATTTTCTCATTTCAATGCATTCGACATTTTCTGCTACGATAATTCTATTTCAATGATTCTTTTACGAAAATCTATTTTAACAGAATATAAAATTTTCATAAAAAGGAATTTATTGAATTTTTATATACGAATGAATAAAAATTTAATCAATCTACTTACTTCCTTATAACCCCTCCTCTTTTCTATTCTTATTCAATCTCGTATAAGCAAATAAAACATTCTTTAAAGTGTCCAAATTAGTGCCAAATTTTACTCCATTATATTCATCACATCTCAATCATTTGAAAATAAAATAATAATTTGGACGTGTTTTTATTATAAAGGACAGTAACTGTAAAGAACAGTAAATTATGGTAGTGCTGTTTGTAAAAGCGTTGGTTTGCGTGATTCTCATGTTTTTGTTAGGATTTGTTTTTTTGTTATCAATTTTTTTCGTGTTTATTTAATTTTAATTGAAATCATGTATTGACAATTTTTAAAGAAGATATGGGATATTATAGTTTGTTTATTAGACGTTTGACATTTCGTGATAGAATTTTGTTCTATTGTTTACTTTTTTAATTCCAATTTTTTTTTTGCAGTTATTTTCTTCTTTTTCTTTTTTAATTTTTTGTTTTCAATATTCTGTTTAGTGTTAACAAAACTTTTACAAAAAAAAGTAGATAAATTAAATAATTTTCTATGTATAACTAATTCTTTTTCTTTCCTTTTCTACGAGGAATTACAACAAATGGAAAAAAAATCAAATTTGAAGAATGAATTTATTCAAATTACTTGCAAATGATTGAAATGAGTTAATCTTTATGATATGATGATTTTTAGATAAAATGAAATAACATCTAAAGTGGTAAAAAAAAAGTATAGAACTTAAGATATTGTGTAATTTATATCAGTTAGTTTGTATATTTGTATGTGTGTGTGTGTGTGTGTGTGTGTGTGTG